TATATGACCATGAGACCAGAAGAAGTAGATGGTGCCAAGCTACCGCTGTCAACTACTTGGAAAGGGATCAGTGCAGGAGAGACTGGACAAAGTGGGAGAATAATGCAGAACAAAAGTCAAAATCATAAAAAAATAGACTAGGTTTACTGGTCTGATGGAGCCTGGTGAGACCCCTGAGACTATAGCCCCTAGTTACTCTTAGATCTGGAATTGAACTCACTCCTGTTGCTTTCAGCCAAACAATAGACAGGCATATGGAAAGAACACTTACAACAGGTAGATTCACTCCTTAGGATGATCAATCACGGGAGAACAGAAGGGCAGTATTTGCATAGGGAGATAGCTCAGGGGGCAGGAATGCACAGGAAAGAACATGGGAAGAGGTAACTACAGGGAGAAAGTGAGAAGACAGCTGTTACATTGTGGGGAATTGTGGTCAATGGCATGAAACATAATGTGTATGATCTGCTGTGTGGAAAATGAATTTGCTCTGTAAACTTTCACCCAAATCACGATAAAATAAATAAATAAAATAAAATGGTATTTTTAAAAAAAAAAAATACAGAGGAATAACCTAAAAAAAAAGAAAAGAGAGAGAGAGAGAAAGAGACATTGTAGACTTATGTCCAGTGGAGTTTCAGTTGATTTTCAAAATGTGGCAATGGGTTGTTGCTGTTGTTATGTCCTGTCGAGTCGGACCCCCTACTGATAGCGACCTCTCCTTGGGTTTCTGAGGCAGTATCACTATGGAAGTAGATCGCCCAACCTTCCTTCCGAGGAGTAGCTAGTGGGTTTGAACCGCCAGCCTTCTAGTTAGCAGTCAAGTGCCTTAGGGACTATGGTACCAGAACTTCCGTGGCAACGGGTAAACAATGATATATTTATTCTCTTTCATGCAGACCTTCTTGGATAATTCTTTTTAGGTTCACAGAAATCTGGAATCTGAGAATGGTGTGAATTTAATTGTCTACAATAAGGTTAAGCTTGTACTATTAGTCTCATTAAGTCTCCACTGACATGTGGTATCTCAGCAGGTAACATTTTAAGCTCTACCAAAGAATTGTTAAGTTGTAAGACCTCATCTTAGAGACAAATGGATAATAACACAAGGTCTTCTTCAAGTGGTTGCAGAACAATTAGAACTCTGACTTTCCTGACCACTTGTCTCTCTTCCTCACTGGATAGTGAGCTTTTGAGGAAATAGACAGGTCTTGTTCTTATAGAGTCTTCTACACTTAACATAGACCTGGCTTCCAATTAATAATAAATATTTGTAAAGTGAGTGACTAAATGAGCTTAAATCAGAAGTTCATGAAGGCATTTCATTATTCAATCAATCAATCAGTGATTATTGAACCCCAACTATGTATAGAGTTGCTAGATTCTCTTAGACTCTACCTTGCAGTCTAATCTTTCAGAAGGGAGAAGGGGGCATGTGCCATCTATGATAGGTGGGAAAATCTTGGCCATAGCCATACACAATTCTGTTATTTTCAGTAGACTAGCAAAAAAGTTCATTGGTTTGAGGGTATGGGGACATGAGCAGTATTTAAAACTGATAATACTTCCGCCATTTTCTTCCATTACAGAGGTAGTCAATACCAATAGAAATGGAAAGGTATTTTCACTGTATTATGTCAATTTACAGGTCAATTCAGAAATCAAGGTGCACATGGTCTGATCCCTAGGCAGAACTGCTTTTATTCTGGAGGATTATAATTCAAAGGCTGTTGTTGTTATGTGCTGTCGAGTTGGACCTGACTCATAGTGACCCCTCCTTGGGTTTCTGAGGCAGTATTACTACGGAAGTGGATTGCCCCATCTTCCTTCCGAGGAGTGGCTGGTGGGTTTGAACCACCACCTTCTGGTTAGCAGTCAAGTGCCTTAAGCACTACGCTACCAGAGCTCCCAATTCAAAGGCTGGAGGGGGATAATACCTTATACTTTGAAACCACTCTTTCAGTTCCAATTAACCATTTCTTTCTAAGTCCTTGTTTTTGTGCATTTTATATGCAGGTGTTCTGATGTGGGAAGTTTTTACAGAAGGTAAAATGCCTTTTGAAAATAAGTCAAATTTACAAGTTGTAGAAGCCATTTCTAAAGGCTTCAGGCTATACCGTCCTTACTTGGCACCAGTGTCCGTCTATGAAGTCATGTACAGTTGCTGGCATGAGGTGAGTGTCCCTTACTTTCCAGTAAAGACTGGCAGTCCCACCAGCTGACCTGATTATTGCAAACATTACCTGGAGACTCCATCATGACAAGGAAAAGTTCCATTTCACAGTAATGATGCAAAGAACCACAAGCACTATTTCTACATGAAATTCCCATTACAAATTCATTAATCCTTTAGATATTCAACAATGGCCTATCATCTGAGAGATCTGGAGCATTTTCCAATGTCTTCTCTTTCTGAGATTGATTTTTGCAGAAACTCTCAATGTCTCTAAAGCCTTAGAGATTAAAGTTTTACTCACACTCAGAACTGGTTGATAGAAACTAAGGGTAAAACCAAGTATGTTAAACTTAACACACTGAAAAAAAGAAGGATGGTGTTCTTACCTACTTCACTCTACTTTCATTACTCTTGTTTTTTTCAAGACTAACTGTAATGGGTTTCATCTCTCTTGGCAGCGCTCAGGACTCCTGATAGAGATATTAAACCAGAATAGGAATGAGGGCAGGAAGTGTTCAGCAGCTCCCACTCAGGAGGGGATCTCTTAGGAGCCCAGTTTCTCTTCTGGAAATGCCAAGCCTAAAAATAAAGCCAGAGGATATGAAATATCTAGAATGAGCGTGTACAGAGACCCAAGTTTATTCATGGTTACCAGGTGGAGATGGGAAGGAGGAGGAAAGGAAGATGCAAGGCTTGGGGGACACTGCGCTTCTGTTAAGGGTGATGAAAAAAATTGGAAATGTTAATGGTTGAACAAGGATCCCTGGTGGCACTATGGTTAAGCAATCAGCTGCTAGCCAGAAGCTTGGCAGTTCAAACCTACCCAGTGGCTCCACAAGAGAAAGACCTGGAGATCTGCTCCTGGAAAGATTACAGCCTAGACAACCCTATGGGGCAGTTCTACTTGGTAACATGGGGTGGTTATGAGTCAATTTTGATGACAGCTGACAACAACTATGATTGGACAACATGATGAACTTATTTAATGTCACTGAACTGTACATGTGAAGATTGTTGACAGGGCAAATATTTTGTTACCTTTGTATTTGCCAGGAGCTCTGGTAGCATAGTGCCTAAGGCACTTGACTGCTAACCAGAAGGCTGGTGGTTCAAACCCACCAACCACTCCTCAGAAGGAAGATGGGGCAATCTACTTCTGTAGTGATACTGCCTCGGAAACCCAAGGAGGGGTCGCTATGAGTCAGATCC